AATGGCATCAGGCACCCATTGTGAGGCTCCGGGCGTTAGGTCTTTGCGAGGCCCTTTATCTTTCGTAAAAAGTATGCGAAACTAAGTCTGGTTGTTTGATTTAGGTATTTGTCATGTTTAACGAGAAATGTTAAAGTTATACAAATAAATAAATAAATAAAATAAAACACACATATATACATAGTTTACTAAACAAAAAACTATGTCTTATTTTACATTTTTTTATTTGTATATTTTAGTGTTGGTAATTTTGATCATTCGCGATTAAAATGCCTAATTCGGGAAATTTTGCGACTTGTCTCAAGACAAAATGTCACACACTGGCCACTCACATGCCACTAAAATTTGTTTGGGTTGTTATGCAAGGCCCTTACAAGAGCGAGGCCCCGGCCAATTGCCCTGTTACCCCCTAAGGCCGCCGCTGCCCTCTCTTCACAAAATACAACAAAAATACAAATGGTGCACCCATAACTGCAATTACCTGTTCATAGTACATTAATTCTAAATTTTGAAGTTTCCAGTGCACGTTGCCCATTTAAGTTCAAAATGGCCGATGCCATGCTCACGTGGTAATGGCCCATAACGATAAACAATTTATCACGAATGAAACTTATCCTATTAAATATTAATATTATAGACGTGAAACTTTGTAAGGATGGATGGGTGAGTGGATATTTGTTACTCTTTCACGCAAAAACCAGCTAGGCCGATTCTAAGGTGCTATTTCCCTAAATTTCGTAACTTTAAATTTTAACCTATTTCGCGAAGTTATTGCTTTATGGCAGGCGGGGTTACTATTTCATTATTATCTATTAAAGAAAATAGTCCTATTGCTAGCAATATATCCTTTAGGTCGGTATCCACGCAGTTACCAGAGGGAGACTTTGTACAAAAGTCGATTGTCATTGTTGCACCGCCAGTGTATATCGACAGCACAGGCGGGGTTACCACTTCGTAATTATCAATTAAAGATAACAGCTTGCTAATTACTAGCAATATATTCTATTAGGTCGACATTCATGTGGTTTGCATTGTGTCATATTCAAATTTAAATCGTCCTAATTAAAATAATAGACTGATCGGAAAGTTGTTATCTGATGACAAGAGTCCGCGAGAAACTCAACAGTTATTCTTTTAAATCTCTGTTATCATATATGTGTATAAGTACACATATATTTATTTAATTGTATTATGTCTAATTCTTGTCAAATTCGTTATTATATGGCAAATGACCTGTTTTCATTCTCACCTATCATCTTTTACTGGTACTCCAATAGCGTGCACCAATAGTGCAGGCAGTGTTGTCTCTCCATTGTTACCCATTCAAAAACTATGCCACCAGTAAATGCAAGAATTTCTATTCTAGTACTGTATGTGTGTGTGTGTGTATGCAATGCTGTAATGCGATTTGTGTTCATGCCACTACTATGCGCCTAGCAACAGGTAAATGGCTTAGGGTAAATTATTATGTACTTACTCACACTTACAGGCTGGAATCTAGTCAGATCGACGTTTATTAGTATCTACCGTTTGCCTATTTTTTTATGCAACTTCGAATGGCAAACAAGCTGACGGTCCACCTGATGGAAAGTGGTAACCATCGCCTATAGACATGAGCAGTACCATGGACATAACAGAGTATACTGTTGCGTCCATGATACCTCCCATGCGTTGCCATTCTTGAGGACTCAGGTGTTATTCCTCTGTACTCCGTAAATTTACTGCCATACACTCTTCAAACTAAAACACAGCTATGCAAACACAACTGCTTCACGGTAGAAAAACGATTGGGACAGAAGTGCCCAAGCAATATATAAGTATATGATTTTGCTTATGTTTTACATATACTATGTGTATACAGAATGAACAATAATTATGTATAAATTATTATAATGATGTTTCTATACAAAATATTAATAAAATCATTAAATGATATTTTGTTGCATATAATCATGTATTATTTGTCGTGTGGTCCCAGCATAGAAGACTCACCCCTTTCTTTGCCGTGGGTGTCGTAGAAGGCGACTAAGGGTACTTAATGGTCAAGGGATCGGCAGCAACGTCCCCTTTAAAAAATCACCAAAAGTCTAATTGCGGTTGTCAACCTGCCTGTCAAGTGTGACAACTACTGGCAAAACCCCATTTAAAGTGAACGATTTATGTTCAGCAGTGAACAGTTAACTCAGATATATTGATAATAATGATTCATGTATTATACAATTTTGAAAAAATATTTTTTTAGATTATTTGCTTTCTCTCAGTTTTGTCTGGATTTCTCTTAAACAATTAAACCGAATTTGATATTTTATCGTTCTATACATTATCATCATCATTCTATACATTATACTAGTTCATTAAATACTAAATATTGTTCATAAAATTATCCTGCAAAATTTTCATCCGAAAATTCATATCCATGATGTAAAGGAAACGTGATCCCAAAAAGTAACGCTTTTTGGGATTATGTTTCTTTGAAAAGTTTCGTGAAAGTAAAGAGCTTTTTGTCATAGTAATTATAGGCTCATAGAGGTTTCCGTTTTAACTTGAACTCGGGACCCTTGAGCTACAATCAAGCAGTCTACCGATTGAGTTGTCACCGCTTTTTTTCTAAATAAAGATATTTTTCTCTTTTCTATTGTCGTTTTCTGTCTCTGAAAATTTACCGTGACATTCTAACTATAACGTTTTTATTTAAAAACAATCGCCGTTATTTTTTTATATTACTAAATAATTCGATCTTTTTGCTTGAACTTAAAATCTTCTTTCGTCCTAAAGTAACTGGCATGATAAAAAAGAAAAATATTGTCACGGATCAGTCATGGCTGTGTCGCGCGATTTTGGTTTATATCAATGAAATAAAAAGTATAATGTAATATTATTATAAACTGGAGCATATCTAAGAGTTACTTCACGACTTTATATGGTCCACAATGAACATAATACGCAAGAGATCTTCGAGATTCGGTCACAATTTGTTTTGACGTTTGGTAATTTTAATGGACTATTTTTTTACTACTCTGATGTGAATATGTTTTAGTGAAAAATGAGGATGTGTGGGTAAATATCTTCTCTACATTATCATTGTCATACATATCATACATATCAGCCGCGAATTGTCCACTCTTGGGGGAGTTTTGCAAGTAGTTACTACACTTAGCAGATGGGTTTCGTAAATTCAGTTAGGCTTTGGTGATATTTCAAGAATGATGCTCTTGCCCATCCCTCGATCATTAAGTTCCTTTTCTTTTCTATATATAGTGAACTAATTATCAAAGTACTTATAAAACAACCAAGAGAAAATACCAGAAAGAGACTTCACTCGCATTTCTGCCGTTAAATAGCTGTGTTTGCAAGAATGAGTTTCAGTTTGAAGCTTGGGATATGCCAGTGGAATTACTAATTACGGAGACATATAACCTAAGGCCTCGTGGCAATGCGTGAGGAGAATTAAAAATCACAATCTATTATTTGTTGTTCACGGTAATAATCATGTTTATAGGCAATGGTTCACTTTCTACCGTGTGGATCGTCAGTTTTTGCCATTCTAAATCGCATAAAAATTAAAACAAAACAGCGCTATCGAGAAAGTTGTATTTTTCGTATAGGTTTCATATGAGATTTAGCTATCGATTAACACTCAAAATTTATGAAATGATCTAATGAATAATTTGTCTCAAGGAAAATAGTATAACATAATATATGGAACATGTAACCTTTCTATTAAAAACGTACTCTTTATTTTAACCCTTAAAATAAAACGCTAAAGTACTAATATTGCAGCTTTATAGAAGGAGAACAGTAGTACAAGAAGAAGGTAACAGTAGTACGTGTTTTTTCCTTTTCATTTAAAAGTTTCCTCTTCTCGGTGCAACTAATTCTTGCATCTTCTTCCAGCCAGCTCTATCTCAGGCTATATCTTTGATCTCCCTATACGACATGACACCTAATGTTTTTTTTTTATCTGTCTCATGTACTTATTCTTCGGTCTTCCCCTTCCTCTTTTGCCCTCGATTTTTCCTTCCACTATGCTCTTTAAAAAATCGAATAGTACGTATTTACCGAGGCGAATTACACTAATCCGTGTAAAAGTATACATAACTACCAATATAAATGTGAAAGTTTCTTAAGACGTTTGTATATTACACAACCACGGTTCTACCGTTGAAAGAATTTGAATAAAATCTGGGACATAGATTGACCATAACATCCTATGTTTTGAGGAAACAGGCATCCGGGTGCCCAACCCAGAGTACCCATATCTGGGCCCTGAATGTATATAAAAGATACGTTTTATATCTAGCCTAGATATTTTTTTTAATTAAATTAGTTTTTTTTAATTATTAGTTTTGTATTTCGCGTAAAGACAGCTTTGTTCTTACATAGAATATGCGGGAGTGATAACAATATCCTGAACATGTTTATAAATAAATTAGATAGTCTTCTCGTGAGAATGTTTGTCGAGAGGACTAGATAATTATTAGTAATTAAGTATTAACATAGTTTTTAACTACACTTATTAACAAAAATGATGCCAGGTTGTCTATATTAAATAAATAATTAAAATAAATATTAGATATCGTTAACAAGTTTTTTTTTTTATACAACTTAGAATGGCAATCAAGCTGACAGCCCACCTGATGGAAAGTGGTAACCGTCGCCTATAGACATGAGCCGTACCATGGATATAACAGAGTATACTGTTTCGTCCATGATACCCCCATGCGTTGCCATTCCTGAGGACTCAGATGTTATTCCTCTGTACCCTGTAAATTCACGCCATATCCCACCCTTCAAACCAGAAACATGAAAACAGTTGAATGAAACATTTGAATGTATTTAAACAATTAATAACCCTTTTTGTTATTTCCATTATTATTGATTCAGCAAACTGTCTTGTGGTCAGGCAAATTATTCGTTTGTTTACAGTAAATTCTATTTAAATGTGCTATAATGTAATTGATAATAAATAGATTAAAGTAATTGTTTTTTTTTTGTTACAGATGTCACCGACCATGTTAGAGGCGACATACTAAAATCCACCGAACATTGAGCAAAACCACCCACCCAGCACGTGTAATATTGTCCAATTAATGGTCTGATCTACTCGAGACGTTTATTTTGTACCACAATTGGAGAAGATGGCGTCCTGTGTCGGAGGCAGCCACTTCGGGAGCCAGGAGTACGTGCCAGTTGCCGAGTTCTACGCGGACAAGTCGGTTTTTGTAACAGGGGGCACTGGTTTTATGGGAAAGGTATGTACTTTTTTAACACAGCATCTAAGTTACGTCTAATACTACGTAAGCTCTGTATAAAATTGAAAAAAAAGATCTAAACTTTATCAAATCATATATCAGTCGTTAATTGTTCACTGCTGAAGATAAGTCTTCCCCATAAGGGCAGTTTTTTTTTTTTTTTTATGTGTGATAATGAAATAGTAACCCCACCAGTGAAGGATTATAGATAAGGATGAAGCAGGTCAGTTAGCCCATCGTGACGAATTCAACAAGAGTTGTTTATCGAATAGGGCATATTGCTAACAATGGGGCTGTGAAACTCCATAGGTAACAATCTCTTTCCCCCGGGGGGAAAGGATTGTTAATATTGGGGTCAAATAGTTTCATTACTAGCAATATACCCTGTCAGGTTGACCTCCCAGTGGTTCCCCCTGGAAACAATCGTGGTTAATTATAGTTGTATTCGTCAAGATGGGCTAACTGATCTGCTTTCATCTCAGTTTCATCCAGTGTATACCGATACTGATATTACCCATTAAACCCCCCCCCCCCACACACACGGGCAGATTTGTCTGTAGTTGCTTGACGTAGATAGTAGTCTTATCGGATTCAATTTTAATTCGATACTTCTTTTTACTTTTTTTTATGGGGTAAACTAGTATGCGGCTCACCTGATGGTAATTGACTACCGCCGCCTATGAGTACCCGCAACACTAGAGGCATTGCATGTGTGCTGCCGCCCTTTTAAAAAGGCATATGCTCTTCAAGGTCACAATGCCGTAAATAGACATTTATTAATTATTGTGTTAATAGACACCATTGTCGATATTTTCTGGAACTTTGTACACACACAAATAAAGTATTGATATTTAAAAAAAAAACACGGCACTTGCCTTAAATGGTGAAACCGGTCGAGTATAACAATATTATTGTAGAAGGGTACAAGAGTTTTTTTTACTGCACTTGTGAAAAAAGATAAAGCGATTAGTTTACCAACTTGTTAGCAAGGACGGGCTTCTCTCTGTAAAATTTCTAACCAATCCAACAACAGTAACAAGTTTTAATGTATCATTAAAAATATTTCCAAATAATTAGACTAAATCATGAAGTGCGGTCCTGTGTGGTCCCGGCATAGAATTGGTCCCCTCTTCCTTTCCCATGGGTGACGTAAGAGGCGACTAAGAGAGGGCGAGGGATGGTCAGCAGCATCCCTCTTGTAATATCTCCAAACCTAACTGCGGTTGTCAATTCACCTGCCAAGCGTGGCAACTACTGTAAAAACTTATGTTCAGCAGTGGACAGTTAAAAGCTTTTATGATGATGATGAAGACCATAAAGTGCGGTGTAATCCCGGTGTAGAATGGGCCATCCCTTTTCCTGTGGGTGTCATAAGAGGCGATTAAGGGAGCTTAATGATCGAGGGATGGGCAGCAGCGTACTTCTTCAAACACCACCAAAGCCAACCTGCTTGCCAAGCGTGGAAACTACTGGCAAAAAAAAAAACAATAATAAAATAATATTATTTATCTAATTAAAATCTTAATATTTGAATATATTAAGATTTCAATCAGATAAATACTGTTTACTTAATTTAAAATTAATTAATTAATGTAACATTAAATTCGCGTCATGTTTCGAAAATAAAATGTTACAATTCGTGTTTATTACATTATTTGACTTAGGAACGTTTCGTTTACTTCTTTTTTGGTTATTTGTTTTTATAAACAATATTTATTGCCTATAGCAGACTTGTCAATCCAGTGAAATATTTATACAGTGTATGAAATGAAAGAAGTAATCAAAGGAAAATCTTTTATTTCATAATATCATTTATTTTTGATGTTTATGTTATGGGCCATCAGTTTTTTATGCAACTTAGAATGGCATACAAGCTGACAACCCACCTGATGGAAAGTGATCAGTAGCCTATAAACATGAGCCATACCATGGACATAACAGAGTATACTGTTTCGCCCATGATATAATATCTCCATGCGTTGCCATTCCTGAGGATTCAGGTGTTTTTCCTCTTTACTCTGTAAATTCATTGCCATATCCTACCCTTCAAACCGAAACACAGCCATGCGAACACAACTGCTTCACGGTAGAAACACGATTGGGACAGAGGCGCCCAAACAACCGACATTTGTACAAAGTCTCCCTCTAGTTGAACAATCATTTTCCCCCAACGATAGATTTTAGGTAGATAGTAGACGTTTAGTTAACTGACGGAATCTTTGTTTATAGACGACGCGTGGTGATCAATTGAAATCATGAGCCATGCACTCATTGCGTGATCTCATTGTAATTATTATATATACCTTACATTAGTAATATAAAATGACTGGAAGAAATCTCTTTTAGAGATAAGTTCGCCTTTGCTAACATTGTTATTAACTTATTGTTGTTAATGTATGTATGGATGTATATGTATGTATATATGTATGTATAAAATCGTAGAAAAATTTTGATTTAAAAACTAAACTACTGAACTAATTTTGATAAAATTTCATATCGGTTTATAAATGACGAAGTTATGTTAGTTATAAAAAACAATACCTTTTTGAAATCGGTTGAAAATAATTATATTCGTCAATTTTTGACCCGAATTTGATGATAAATGAATGATGATTGAATGTGTGAACTAATGTTATTTTATATGTATGTATGTATGTACACACACTTCTAATAATTTTATAAAAATTGAAATCGTTATTTTTTTTATGGGTGAAAATGGTATGGTAACGGTAACCCCGCCTGCGCGAACGGAATACGCTGGCGGAGTACCAGTGAAGGGTGATAGATGAGAATGAAAACAGGCCAGTTAGCCCATCATGACGAATTCATCAGGAATTAACCACGATAGCGAGGAGGTCGACCTGGTTGGGTATATTGCTAGCAATGGGATTCCCAGTCTCCATTGCTAACAATCCCCTTCCCCCCAGTCGTTATTATTTGTGGATAAAATATTATAATACAATAGTTTCTGGTTATGCTCAAAAACTACTTGGTTTGTTTGTTTGACAGCAAAGCAATAAATTGAGATGTAATTATTTTTAAAAGACTCAAAAAAGCGGATGTTTTCAATGTCTCTCTATATATTTTTTGTGTATGTACACGATAGTTTCGTCAATTCTGAACCAGTTTTAATCGATTGAGTTTATTTGCCTGTAAGTTCTATATTAATTTTAAGTGTAAATGTAGTTTTAACCGGATCTAAATATATATTTTACAGGATTTTTGATAATCAATACATATAGTAAAAAAGGTTAAAACTAAATAAACTGATCGGTTATTTTATAGCATTTTATATGTGATTCTTTGTGATTATAATAAAACAAACACTAAATGTTAAGTAGAGCAAACCGCAATGCATTAGTGAAAACCGCAATCAAATCGGTTAAGCCGTTTTTGAGATTAGCGTGCACAAACGTACAGAAAAACAGACAAAAGTTCTAAAAATTTATGTTTTGGGTTCTACTGCAATTATAAAGCCGCCCCCCTCCAATCTTAATAGTTTTACTTATATATTTTCCATGTACGCACAGGGACCAATTACGATTTTTATATGTGTTTTGATTTATCTATCATTTAGACATCTCTGTTAGAAATAAGGTCGCCTTTGATCACATTATTTGTAATAACTCATATTATTACTATATTTTTTAATACAATATATCAAATATGCCTAGAGTGAGACTTGTGATTGTATATGGGCATTTTGTTTTACAGGTATTAGTCGAAAAACTTCTGAGGAGTTGTCCGAAGATCAAGAAAATATATTTGCTCATGCGGCCAAAACGTGGACAGGATGTTGCCTCGCGACTCACCGAGCTCACACAGTCACCGGTGAGTTGATTATCATGTACTTAACGGTTTCTATCTCATCAGGTAACTCGCTGAGTGCACAGACTCACCATGTACATAATTGTAATTACCTCATCAGGTAACTCACTGAGTTTACACAGTCAGTCATTAGTGAGTTTATTACCGTGTATTTAACGGTTTGTATCTCATCAGGTAACTCACCGAGTTTACAGATACACCGGTATATAGATTACTATGTATGTACTTAATTGTGACTACCTCATTAGGTAACTCACTGAGTTTACACAGTCATTGGTGAGTTTATTACCGTGTACTTAACTGTTTGTATCTCATCTGGTAACTCATCGAGTTTACAGAATCACCGGTATGTAGATTACTATGTATGTACTTAATTGTGACTACCTCATCAGGTAACTCACTGAGTTTACAGAGTCATTGGTGAGTTTATTACCGTGTACTTAACTGTTTGTAGGTAACTCACCGAGTTTACAGAATCACCGGTATATAATTGTAACTACCTCATCAGGTAACTCACTGAGTTTACACAGCTACCGGTAAGTTGATTACCGTGTACTTAACTGTGTACTTAATCCTTAACAACATTTGATTTTTTAACTTACGCATCTAGACTTGTGAGGGAGTTTGGATTCCACGCATTTACCCAATATTTATATACAAAAAGAAAACTATACGAGCATGTTTTAATGAATAAAATAATGGTACATTAGAAATTCAAATTTTGTTTAAATTTTAAGCATAAAGTAAATAGTTGGTACATCAAATAAAAAAAATACTAAAAACCGGTATTAATTTTAGTATCCAGTTGGAAGGCCAAATAGTAAATAAAATTGTTAATATAAAAACAAACTAAACATTTTTCCTTATTATTATAACATATAAGTATAATATATTACTATAATAATTATTTCAAAACTGTAATAAACGTTCCAATATATCCTAAAATAAAATTCACAAGAAGGACATAGATTTTAGTTTTTATTATATAATTAATAAATAGTAGGATAATTATTTCAGTATATTACATAATATTCAAATTATTACGTGTTTTTTTTTTTACTTATTTGGATACAGAACATGTTAATTTTTTATGTCACGGTCAATGACTACGGTCTATATAGTGCCTTAATTAAATTATTTTTTTAAATAAAACATCTCAGTTTTGCTCGTGTCTGGCTTACTATCATCTAACAGATTTTCTATCTGCCAACAATTAATGTAAAACATAAATACATAATAAAATATAATTATAAAAAAATATATATAAAAAAATATTAACGTAATTACTCTTGTGGGGACCTAGGTCCCCCAGCGTCTTGTATCTGGGGGATCTAGGTCCCTATGAGAGTAATTACCTAAATATTTTTTTCTTCTCTTATCTCTTAAACTATTTATAATATCCTGGTCCACTTTTACTCTTTGCAAGTTCTTTGTCGGCCTTACGCATAAATTAATAAGAATATTTACGAAAATGTGTATAGTGGGAAGGACCTTAGAGTTGTTAACTGTAAACCCACCTCATCAGATAGTTAATCGAGTTTACACAATTATCCGTATGTTGATTACCATGTACGTAGCCATATTGTTAGTAATGGAGACTGAGAATCCTATTGCTAGCAATATACCTAATCAGGTCGACTTCCACGCGGTTCCCCCTAGAAACTATCATGGTTAATTCCTGATGAATTCATCATAATAGGCTAATTGGTCTGTTTTCATTTTCATCGATCACCCTTCACTGGTGCCCCGCCGGCGTATACCGTTAGCGCGGGCGGGGTTACCATTCCATTTTCATCTATCAAACAAAAAAACCTACCGACCGATACAACATCATAACCTTCAAGAAAAGAGCATATTCCTTTTTGTGTGTTGTGGGTGATCATAGGTGGCGGTAGTCACTTACCATCAGGTGAGCTGCATGCTCGTTTGCCCTGTGTTGTAAAAAAACCTACCTTATAAGGTAACAATTTGTTTCCATTGGAAATGACAAGTTTATTCTAGTAGTAGTAGTAATTTCTATATACATCCTGAACTGTCCACTGATCAACATCTTTACATGTTTTGCCAGTAGTTGCCACGCTTGGTAGAAGGGTTGACAACCGCAGTTAGGTTTTGGTGATGTTTTAAGAGAGACACTAGTACCCATCCATTCTCATTTACCATTCATTCATTCACCTCAACCATTAAGTTCCCTTAGTCGGCTCTTATGACACCCACGAGAAAAGAAAGGGTGTCCCATTCTATGTCGGGACCACACGGCGTTTCTACTTCTATATTAATATATTATTATTAATTTACTTTTATTATTTACATATGTAGGTATATAGAGCTGTTTTTATTGTGTTATATATTCAATTTTTTTTTTTACTTGGTATTATTTAGTTTATCTTTAATTTTACGGTTATTACCCTTATACATTCTACAGTTTTCTTTCAGCTTCTCAAAACTGTAAGAGATCCCTTTATGGGATAAGTCCGCCATTGTATACTAAATCATTTACTAGTATTTAATCTGACTTATGTACAATAAAGATTTTTACAATACAATACAATATTGTTTGTTCTCGTAGTTGCTTCTTACAGCATCCTGGAGTTACGTCATAATTATATATATTTTTGGAACACAATCTTAATCATTCATGATGTTAAGTCTATTGGAAACAGAAAGCACTGCCAATGCCAATAAGCTATCAATTTGTTTGTCATTCAGTATTAAAAAATTAAAAATATTTTCCCAGTTGTTCGAGACTTTGAGGAAAGAGCGGCCACAAGAGTTGAACAAGATAGTGCCCATAGTAGGTGACATCACGGAGCCGGAGCTCGGCATCAGTGCAGCGGACCAGGCCATGTTATGTCAAAAGGTACCAATATGACAGATTAGTTTAACAAATCATTATGACAGAAATGAAAACAAGATAGATAGCTTTTTTAATGAAAAGAAAATGGAATTATAATAGAACCTCCCTGCGCTATTGGTATATACTGCCAAGGTATCACAGAAAGATGATAGATGAGGAAGAAATAAAGTCATTGAATTGAATATTAATCACGATGGTTTTAAGAGGATACTGTGTCGAGGATCGAATTAGCAATGAGGAGGTCCTGCTTAGGGTTAAGGAAAAAAGACAAATTATTAGAACTATTGAGGACAGAAGGGGAAAAATGTTGGGACACTTGATACGACACGACAAACTTATGAACATTATAATAGAAGGTAAGATAGAAGGAAGGAGGGGGAGAGGGAGACCGAGATATAGTTACATCAGGCAAATCAAGGAAGGTGTCGTGCCGTATCAAGAGGTGAAGAGACTCGCTGAAAATTGTAGTGAGTGGCAAAAGCTCCACCGACAAGAGCGCAGCTCTTAAATAGATAGATAGGTAGACCTGATTAGAATATATTGGTAGTAATGGTTCAATCTCTATTACAGTAGTAATTGGTAATTTTGTTACATCACAAATGTGGTAAACAAGCAACATACATACATAAATACAATAAGTAATAGTACTATATAATGTACAGTAATAAATTAATAATTTCTAGTTAAGTGGACCTAATAATATAAACTAATAAAATAATAAAAAGTAACGAATGAGGAAGTCCTGAAAAGAGTGAACGAGAAAAGAACATTAATTAAAATAATAGAGAATAGAAGAGGCAAAATGCTGGGCCACCTTATACGATGATATAATTATACCATGACGATTTTTTTAAGAGCAAAGTAGAAGGAAAATAGAGGGCAAAAGAGAAATAGGAAGACCGAGGAATAACTACATGGGACAGATAAAAGAAACACTAGGTGTCATGTTTAGGGAGGTTATATCCTTGGCATGGGATAGAACTGGCTGGAAGAAGATGCATGAATTAGTTGCAGCGACAAAAGGAAATTCTTAAATGAAAAGAGGGCCTAATATTATATTATCTGTGGGTTGGCCAAGGTTGAGGTTTATCAGGTTCTTCATATATTTTTTTCTTTCAGGTGTCGGTAGTATTTCATTCTGCAGCCACAGTAAAGTTTGACGAGAAGTTGAAGCTTTCAGTTACAATCAATATGCTGGGCACCCAACAACTAGTACAACTGTGTCACCGCATGCTGGGTTTGGAGGTATTTATTTAATTCGTCTGGTTTTATTAAAAGCAGTTAAGGTTATAAATGTTATTAATACCATAGACGATTTTTAAACATCGTCTTAAGTCGCAATGTTGAGCAAAGACTTTCCCTTTACCTTTTCAAGTTTTTTCTGTTTTGAGATTGATCAGATCATGTCTTTCCTGCAAAATGGTCCAAATTAGCGACCCATTTACGTTGCAGTCAGAGTGTTTACATCTGGAAATTAATGCATACCTAAAATTTGTCGATTTAAAAGTAATTGTAGACAATTGTATTTATTTTGAAAATTCTATCCAAGATATTAAAAGTATGATACATGTATTGAGTTTAACAATCTACCGTTTTCAGGCTCTAGTCCACGTTTCAACAGCATATTGCAATTGTGAGAGAGAACGCGTTGAAGAGACGGTGTACGCACCGCCAGCTCATCCAGAACACGTCGTCACACTTGTCCAGACCCTCCCTGATGAATTGGTGGATAGAATTACGCCAGATCTAGTCGGTTAGTTTAGTCCTCAGTTAAAGCTTTTTATAAATTTAATAGCAGCCATATTGGTTTCTTTTTTACTCTTTTGTGAAATAATTAAAAAAATACAGACACACTTCATAGGAATTTTTCCCTTAAAGCTACAGTATCAGGTTCTTCAAAAAGGGCTTATTAATGTCTTTCTTCAGGGTAGGCTATGTATACTTTATCATCTGTTGAAGTTGCAGCCATCTGAATGTAACCATTTACTGTCAAACGGACTGTAGTGATACAACAAAAGTATAATTCTATAAGAGAGAGATCTCTACCAATGACATTGTGAATCGAAAAGAGTCATAATCATCATACCAGTTTTTAACTGTCCACTGCTGAACATAAGCATACCACCTTGGTGGGTTTTGTCAGTAGTTGCCACACTTGGCCGGCGGATTGGCAACTGCAGTTAGACTTTGGAGATATTTTAAGAGGGACGCTAGGCCCATCCCTCGGAGAGTCATACAAAACTCTAATTAGCAATGGTGTTTTTCATGTGTAGCAATAAGTTTTAAAATGATATCTTCTTTATTTACAGGTGACAGGCCTAACACGTACACGTTTACGAAGGCTCTAGCAGAAGATATGCTTATAAAGGAATGCGGAAATTTACCAGTGGCCATCGTCAGACCTTCCATCGGTAAGATATTGGATATGTCTATTAAATCAACATTTTAGGACCATACTCAATTTTGCTGGTTACTCTGTTTGAGTCATAGATTGTTAATTTGCTTTTCTAATACAGTTAATTGTTTGTTATAGTAAAATTTATTTATATATTATATTTATTTATTTAATATATTGTATGTTTACATGTAATTATATATATTATATATAGTCTAATTATATCGTTTATAGTATATTCACCGTCCGGTTTAAGTCTTTGTACATAGTTTCACTGTACATTAAAGTTTAAATAAATAATTGTAAAGTATTACTCATAGGTGAGGGCGAAATATCTCCCTTTCTGATCAAAAGCTTTTTTAATGTGATGAAAATGGTTGACCAGATAGAGAATATCGTCGCGATGGTGTTCATATGCACGATTCAGTTTCACTGATATTTTTCAGTTCAAATAAATAAATATTGAAAATTATTACTTCTTATCAAGTTTGGGTATTTTTTTTATTTTTAGAATTATTTTGTTTAATGCCGTTACCATTAGTATGTGCGTGACTACCAACAGCCGAAGATTGACAGCCACTATAACTACCAGAGGTTCCTCAACTTTCCATATTAACTATCAATCTCCGACTACCATTTTGTTCACGCACATTTTGCGACACGTGTTTCACCTGTAAACGAGGCGTTTTCCGGTACATTATAAAATCGCTGCTCGGAGCCTAATGTTAACTGTTCGAAACCCAAATTGCGAATATTAATTTTCTTTTAATCAATCAATATTTTTTTAAATAATGGAAATTTTAATGTAATAACTTCTTGGATATCGTTACAGTGCTCTCATCTGTTCGAGAGCCGGTCAAAGGATGGGTGGACAATTGGAACGGCCCAAACGGGATCATAGCTGCTGTCGGCAAGGGGGTGTTCCGGACGATGCTGGGCACCGGTAAGCGGGTGGCGGACCTGGTACCAGTGGACACTGTGATCAACTTGATGATTGTATGCGCGTGGCGAACACATTTGAGACGGTGAGTTGTATATTTTAATAAATAAATAAATAATAACAAATAATTAATAAATAAATAAATATAGTTGAATTGATGAGATATATTTAATTTACAAATTGTTTTTGTTAGATCAATTTATTTATTTATTTATTTATTTATTTATTTATTTGAAAATTTCTCACTACACTTACAGTTTCCCAAAACGTGTAGTGAGCCAAAGTTTTATTTCACAAACTTACAAATTTTGTACAACAATTTAAAAATATACCTTTTGTAATTAAATATATATCTTAGCAATGTGAGAATGAGCAGAGAAATAGTATAAAAAAATATATAAATAAAAATCGCAATCGCATGCAGCGTTGAACAAATATGACATTCCGCCGTTGAGCAACTTTTAGTTCATCAAATCGCACTAAGAGCGAAACTAGACCTACCATACCGGATACGAACAGTGATGGGTACAAATAAGGATAGTAGCCGTAAACATATAGAACATCAAATTTCCTCTGAACTCTTTCTATCATTATCTTGTATTTTGTTTCATATAATAATAATAATAATAATATTCTCTCTCTCTGTTTATTTTGGTAGATATCAGACCAAATCCTTTATGTAAATATATTTTAATGTGTAAAAGTATAAATAAATATATAAATAAAAATCGCATTTGAACAAATATGACAATTTGAGTGTTTTTAGTCAATCATCGTAAGGCTTAACGACTGTAAGTATTAGGATGAAGTTTGCTAAACATAGAAATCCTGTTCTGGATATTTTTGGATATAATTTTTTTTTGTGGTAAAACAAATGAAGTGATATACGTGTGTTGAGTCGAGTAAATCAATCCGGTTACTCTAACATTATAATATTATATGTACTTACGAAATTTTTAACAATAAAAATTATTTGTTGTTGTCAGTCAGAGAATACTATTGGATTATTTTCTATCATATCTCTAATTTCGATGTTTTAAGTTAATCTGTGATTAGTAAGTTAAATGTGGTTGCCAACCCGCCTGCCAAGCATAGCAACTATCGGCAAAACGTCCCCCCCTTATGGGGAGACCTATGTTCAGCAATGGGCAGTTAAGAGTTAACATAATAAAAATAATAATATTTAAAAATTATGAATTTGCAGACAAATAATTACTAATATCTAAAAATCAAACAAAGGTTGCTAATCCATTGAGATTGTACCTAATAATGCTCAAGTAATTAAATATTCCATTTCTGATTATTTGTACGCTTGCAACTCGAATTCCAGTACCAAATTCTCGTTGCGAAAATATTTCCAAGTTGAATAACAGCGCAATAAAAAGTCATTGAACAGAACCTGTGGTATAAATGTCAAGCTTGGAAATTATTGAAAGATAGTCGTTTGGCCCATTTCACCGATTTGATTTGATCAATAAATAATGCCTGAAATGCATTGCAATATATTAAAACAGGGGGGAAAGGAATTGTTAGTAATGGAGACTGAGAATCTTATTGCTAGCAATATACCTAACCAGGTCAACCTCCACGCGGTTCCCCCTGGAAACTATCATGGTTAATTCCTGATGAATTCATCATGATGGGCTAACTGGCCTGTTTTCATTCTCATCTATCACCCTTCACTGGTGCTCCGCTAACGTATATCGTTAGCGCAGGCAGGGTTACCATACTATTTTCACCCATCAAAAAAAAAAAATATGCTAATCTACAAGTGTTTTAAACACTTGTAGATAAGCACAAATAAAAATTAAACGTAAACAAAACTAACTTTGAAAGTTTATGAAAGATACTAAAATATACTGTCTGATATTGACGTTGGTGTTGTTTTAATTTCCAGAGGTGAAGGCGTTGTGGTTTACAACTGCTGTACCGGCCAACAGAACCCGATCACGTGGCAGAGTTTTGTCAGAACTAGCTTTAAATATATGCGGAAACATCCGTTTAGTAAGTACATATATTAGATTACTATTACCATAAAGGGCGAGGGATGGGCAGCAGCGTTCCTCTTAAAACATGTGTAAAAGCCTATCCGCGGTTTTCAACTGCGGTTGCCAACCCGCCTGCCAAGTGTGGTAACTACTGGCAGAACTTCCTTATGGGGAAGGCTTATGTCCAACAGTGGACAGCTAATGGCTGAAATAATAAAAAAATATATCATAAAAACATAAACAAATCAGAGACAGAGGATCACATGTAAAAAGATAATAAAACAGATGCCAAATTCAGAAATGGAAATATTAATGTAGACAGAAGAAGAGTTGGTCTGTCATGATCATTAGATAAATCTGTTTGTCTGCATTTGTATTTCAAATAAGCCCAATTGTGTCCTCGAAATTAAGGAAACAGTCGAGGGATTTATTACTAAAAACTTTCATAAAGTTAAAATTAACACACAAGAACCTTTTTGAAACTTTTGAATTCTTGGGTCACTTTTGATCATTGATATATGTATATAAATTTTAATGTGATATCACCAAATATATTAAAATTTGGGTGACTAAGTTGTTACACGTTTAGATTTAAATTATTAAGCTACGAAAATTCCGTGAATAAGTCAAAAGAGCATATATGTTACCCAATATCTTCTACAGTCGGCTCAGACCAATTTTGTAACAACATGGTTTATTATTGCATTTGTTCCATATAACTTCATCATAGAATCTCAGCATAGAATAGGCCAGACCTCCATCCATGAGTGTCATAAGAGGCGACTAAGTGAACTTAATGGTCGAAGGATGGGCAGCAGTGTTATTCTTGAAATATCACCAAAGCCTAACTGCGGTTGCCAACTTGACTGCCAAGCGTGGCAACTACTAACAAACCTTATGTTCTTCAGTGGACAGTTAACGGTTGATATGATGATGATGATGCCACCAAACCTAACTGCATTTGCCAAGCGTGGCAACTACTGGCAAAACTTCTCAATAGGGAGAGAAAGTTTACGACTGCTGTGGTATGGTACTTTTGCTACAATTCAGATTCTTGTCGTCCTGGAACACAATCCTAAATTGTTTTATAATGTCATTTGCAGGCGAAGTGGTATGGTATCCTGGCGGCGATATTACCAGCAACAGGTTGAAGCACAACACTCTGTCGTTGTTACAACATCGCGTGCCGGCTTTCATAATGGACCTGGCAGCGAGGTCCACGGGAAACAAACCTGTGTTAGTATTTGATGTAACTATTATAAGGATTAAGCACCTGCCAATTTAGAATTTCAGATGCTATTCTATATTGTTCGTGGCAACTTTAAAACTTTGAAATAGTTTTTTTTTTTATAAAACAGGAGCAAATAAGCATGAGTGCTCACTTGATGGTAAGTGACTACCATCACCCATGAGCATCAGAGGAATTGCAGGTTTGCTGCTGGCTTTTTAAAAGGAATTATATTATTACAAAATTATATTATTAAAGGATTAGTCACTTTTCTTAAAAGCTACGATGTCGTATTAGTTCGGCGATACTATTACTGGAAGTTGATTTCAAAGCATGGTTGTGCGTGGGAGAAAGTGCCATTCGTCCAGTTGGTTATGATGGAACTTTTTTGTTGCGGATTGTTGTTGGTATTGGAGTTTATATGCGCAGACAGGATGTCAGTCGTAAAACTGAAGTCCAAATTCGGGTAATATGGATAAAAACTCCAAAATTGATATAATTGGGATAAGAGCAAGAAAATGACTGGTAGTTATAGAAATATGATAGTACCAAATATAATTGGTCTTGCTTTAACAATCCTAAAATTCAGGGAGAAAGTGTATGTTGCCTGTAAATTTTTTGCCTAATTGGCTCCAACTTCTTTTTAATGCGACTTAGAATGGCAAACAAGCTGATGGCTCACTAAATGGAAAGTGATCCGTTGCCTATAAACATGAACTGTACCATGGACATAACAGAGTATTCTGTGTCACCCATGATATTTTTCATGCGTTGCCATTCCTAAAGAATAAGGTGTTATACCTACATAATTTATGCCGAGGTTATGCCGAAAAATAATAAAAAAAAAACAGCATTATTAAGAGCTTCATGCGAAAGAGGATTTAATAAACAACTTTTGTCTGTACACAAGGTCATAGCTTGATTGAATTAAACAAAATTTCAGGATGGTCCGAGTGCAGAATAAATTAGCTAAAGCCGCTGCTTGCCTCGAGTACTTCACTACTCGTCAATGGGCCTTCGCCGATGACAACGTGCAGGCCCTCTGCGCGGCCCTCTCCGTAGAAGATCGTAGGATTTTCGACTTCAACGTGAGAAACATTGACTGGGACGCGTATATCGAGTCGTACGTGTTGGGCATTAGAAGGTTCCTCTTTAAAGAGAGTCCGGAAACATTGCCCAAATCGAGAGCTCTTATGAGAAGGTATGTGTTATATTTATGTTAATAAAATAGTAAATAGATGTCTTGAAACTATGAATGAAATAATGCCTGCTTCAATTGGATAATCAGTGGTTTTATTGTATCAATCAGATTATTGTAAATATGTATTTGAATTTGTTTGTTTGTTGTTTCTTGGAAGTTTAAGAACTCATCCAATTATAATGAAATTTAGTGTATAATTCTAGTCATGCGGACGAAGTTGCAGGTAAAAGTTAGTGAAATCATAAGGAATTCTTTTGTCTTAGATTTAAAATAAAAAGGGTTGGATAAATTAACTAACATTTCTCTACGCTGCTATAAGAAATTGACTAATTTTGTATTAGTCACCTAATGGTGACTAATATTATATTATTTTTAATATACTGGTCAATGAACCATATCCCGGTCACTCAGACGAAGACGGATATAAAAGCTAGTACATTACTAAATCGATTTAAAGAAGATCAAATATTGTAGAGTCATGATTGAGCGAGAGTACTTATGTTTTAGATATATAATTATTTGTTATATATATAATTTATTGTGTTTCTTTTTTTCAGGTTACATATAGTCCACATTCTAACTCAAGTGGCCACTGTGTTCTTTCTTTGGAGATTTTTGTTCGCGCCATCCAATGCATTACGTTCTATATGGAGACGCATACTAGAGTTCATAACTCGTGCAATCCGCCTTTTAGCCATCGCCTGATGTCGCGCAATCAACTCAACATCGCTCATTTCAATCAGTTAGAAACGCTTCTGCAGACAACTGACGTTTCGTTGACGTTTGTTACAAAATGGCGGACGCCACATGTCAAATCTGACACCAATAGTTAAGATCACAACGGCAAATAAATATGTTAGGAATATTTTCTCTTCAATATTTAAGCTTCAGGAGCTGTTGTATTTTGCTTCCTCTATAATCATGTGTGATATGAATACAGTATGCATAGATAGTTATTCATATATTACGAGACGCAGCCAACTGATTGATTGAGATGAAAATGATTCTGAATCAAGTAAGTCTTGAGTGTTCAACCGATTTAAGGATCGTGGGTAATTCAAATCAGAATCTTAACGGTTACGTACAAATTATCAATTGAACGATTAATTAATTTTATGCCACGTAGTGTATGATATTGTATTTTGAAATTTGTTCTATCATACATGATTACATTTTCGATTCCCAAACGCTAAGCAATATATTTCTGTTACGAGTTATTGTAAGTAATTTGTAATTTCAAATGGTTTTGTACCTATGGCAGCTCAATGGTCTCTTAAAGTTACAATTGTCTTTGTACAATATTATTGTAAAATTGTACAACAATATTCTTATTTCGTTTACATATAGTTTACTGTACGCTTCCACACAATAGAACTGAGGATTTTTCATTCACATTTCGAATGAATGTCTTTATGATTTCTATGTGTTAAATTAACTAAATATCATTTTGGAATATTGATCAACATACCATGCCTCAATCTAATGTTACGATGCTGTTTCACCATAAGGAGCGTACAGTATGTTTCGTGTATTTAATAGAAATGTTTTTCGTCTCCAAAATCATGCAAATTCGTGGTAGAATAATGTCCAAACTACAGCTAAGCCATTGAAAAAATTAAGCCTTATTTCCATTGCAAAAAATTTCCGAATTGCAAAATTCGGAATCTCAAATACCCGAATGTACTAGTCAGGAATTATTCCATACTTAATCTATTCATAATATAGGCAACCCATGTAAAATATAAAGTCTCAAATACAATTGTTAAAGAAACGGTTATTAGCAAAATTATTTTAAATGAAATAATAATAATAATTAATGAAATATAGAAAGGTGTGGGCGGTTCGTTAGTGGCTAGGTTTGTAGTTTTACTCGATTTTGTCCCGTTAAAGATTAATGTAAAGATGTAGGTGCGCGTAATGTCAAATGCAACGCTCTGATCTAGACATAATAATAAAATTAAAAAAAAACCTCAAAATAAATTTCAACACTAATAGTGATTAGTGTAAATAAGTTCCCAAAAACAAACGTTGACAAGTACAATTTGCATAAGCTCAACAGGAAACTAATCCAATAGCGTAAATAATAATACAATATTGCATCAAATATTTTATGTAATTGTTGGAAAACTTTTATTTAAAAAAAAAAAGAAAACAGAATTGCTATTTCATAAATCTTTCATTTCAATTGTGAAAGTAAAAGACATTGTATTATAATTACCAGAAATAAAGCTTTGATTTAAATCTGCAGTTAAAGCATTTCAAATAATTATTTTTAACATCGAATTATTACGGTAACCTCATTTGTAATGACGCTTAATTCCAAACTAAATCTTCCTTAGGTCTTGTCCTTTTACAGCTATTCTAAATAGCTGGTATTATTGATCGGTTTACTTAAATTGTCGAAGACAATCTTTTCCATGTTACTTGATACTAATTTCTCTTATTGTTCTAAATATAGTTTGATAAAATACACAATAAAACAGAAGTATGAATTTTTTACAAGTTTCAGTGGTGTCATTTGATATTAAAATTTATTGTCTATGTTAAACTTTTAAAGTGATATATTAAATTAGATGTTTATTTGGAATGATAAATTCATTTCTCACACTTGTTTATGCATTTTCATTAATGATTGATATTTATTAAAATTATCAAGTGCTTTGCTGATAATGGATGATTTTTTTATAATATAATTTTGTACACTAATTTATTTGCATTATGAATTGTGACGTTTATGAAAGTATTATATTTTCAAATTATAAGATATATAAAACGCAATTATTGGTTTTCTGCAAAAAAAATGCGAATTCATACGTATTATAAAATTATAAATATCACTTCAGCCATTCAAGCGTTGCTCTCTCATGTTTGGCCGATGGAAAGGACTCGAATTGGCAAAATGAAGTTTATTACTGTTTACATTGTGAGGACATTTTGCCAATTTGAAAATTCATTGTATAAACACATAATTTTAACTGGCTACCTTATAAATTGAAACTGCACACTTGCTTATGTGCCGAATATTATCAGTCGCTAGAAAATGTATGAAATTGTAGGCTAGGTTACAATTAATCAAAAGCTTATAATGATAATACAGAGCGTTTGCACCGATATATGGTTACAATAATTTATTACCAATATTCAACGAAAAAGCGTATGGGTGTTCAAACTTAGAGTAAAGAGAGATAAAATACCTTAGTGAAGAGAGAATAGGACACACAGTAATAATAACGTCTTTAATAATAAACGTGTACCTCTATTACCTACTTGTTATGAAGATGCAGAGCAAATTTCCAAATAATACGCTTCCCTAGAATAACTATTTAAGTTTTGTTATTAAATTTATTTGAATTTTGTGATATTTTTGGCTACTTTTCGATGTAATGAATTGAACTATGAATTCATAAATTATGTGAAATGATAATAAAACAAAATGAAGCAAAACACTAGTTCGAAGATGAAATTAAACAAATGAGTAATGAAAACTGCACGAACTATTGATAAATTAATCAATGATCTAATTGTAACCAATAATAAATTTCATCACAGTCGAGTTCATAATGCAATTCATTAGACATAATAGTAAAATTAAAAGGAATAATGACTTAGATATATCGAAGTGCCGAAATATTGTTGTTTCTATAGTTTTGTGGCTCGCCTTTTACAAGTTCTCCGATGTCTACCAAATTGCTTAACGATTATATCCTACAATACGTAAGTTTTACTTGTTAAGTAATGCCTAAGTTTATACAATGTGTTATTTAAGTGTTAGCATTTCTCTTAATATTTAAGTCTAATGCAGGCTTTCGCTCTTACATTCTCGATCAATGTGTTTGATGAGGGATTTACAAAGTTGGACGTGATTTAAATAAAATATCATAGATTGAGCCCTTAGTGTCATATTTATTTACTTATTTATGTTTCTATTTATTTTCACGATAAATATTTATTGAAATATTAAATTAATGTAATTCTCCATTATTGCATTCACTGAATGTACACCACTACCTCCATAGACAATATCCAAGGATAGGGTTGTGTGATTAAATTTATTAAGTAGTATTTTCAATTGTACTTTATACGGCCATTCAAATGGTCAAACTAATGGCCTACGAAATGGTCAAATCGTAATATGTTTATAGGATTGTATTGAATACGTAATAGTATTGTTGTTTAGTACAAGAATCTTGTCAATGGAGATTATGGTCTGTATTGTAAATCAAAAACCGAGTCTATGCGTCTTGGATGTATATAGTAAAGTTAATTTTTTTATTTGTAAGTATATTTGCAGTTAGATTTGAAATCATTGTACCAATTTCAACCTAGTTAATTCTGTTGTATAAAGCCTGGTCACGTGACGCGTTGTGTTTTTTTTAGATTTATTGCTTAGATGTCGACCACTACAGTTAGATTGTCCAACTTTGAAAATCCCTACTGTTTGTCTTAGTTTAGTTTTGTTACGGTATTAACTGGTTAGGAATTATTCTGGGCTATAAAGTTTTGTATCAATAATAGGTATTATAATGTAATGCTAATAGGTGTTTTATAAAATACTTTTGCAATAAACAATTATGTTTATTAGATATTTGATTACTTCCCTAATACCATAGAAGTTATCGGGATACAATACAAATAGTCCAGAACAATTGAGGATTATGTTACAAAATAAATTATGTCGACATCAAAAGATATTTGTGAAATATTGTTTTTGCTTGTAAGTATATAATTCGATATATGTACATTTTGAACAGAAACGAGTCTTGATGTTATTTTAGTGAGCTTGTAAAGATTTTGCGTTCATGAATGCTTTTGTAATAAAGATATTGTTTGGTAATGAGAAAATGTTCGCGCGGCATTATTTATATTATTGTGTATATAGAATTTAGTTATCCAAAGTTAAATCCAAATACATTGATGCGAAACTATTTTAAATTGTTTTCACTGTAATATGTATGTAGTTATTCGGAGTGGTGGTAAGATTTTTAAACGGTTTCTGAACGAACGTAACAGCGAAAAAAATTATGGATTTGATCCGATTTTGCAATTTCTATTATAAATAAACCGTAGACATTTCAATATTAATATTAGAAACATAGGTAAATATTATTAATTAAAAAAATATTCAATAAAAGTTTTTTTTTTTTACACTTACCTAATATTTTGACAGCTACATTGAAATGGCGCCAAACGCTCGTTCTGAAACCGCGGGAAAATGCTTTAATATAATTTTTTTTTGCTTAGATGCGAACGGTTTTGATTATGGTATTGAAATCCATAAACTTGATGGAATGTTAAAATATTTAGAGATGGTTGACAAATGCTCAAAGTTTGTAGTCCCCGTTCCTGTTTAGCTGGTCTTGACAATATTAGAATAATGTATTACAATATGTCCTAATAATTGACAAATTAGTATAAATCAGTCCAGTAGATTATCCCTTTGTCTAACCTGTAAGAAATGGGCCTGAAGCCAGATTTACTGCAAAATGTAACAAACAGCTAAACTATATAGAAATTAAAAATACCTTGAACGGTGAAGCTGATCAGATATTTATTATAACAATTTGTGGAAGAGTGTTTTTTTTTTAATAGTATGAACTATATAGACTATTCTTTTGCAAATTGGGTACTTTTTGCATTCAGTTAAAGTTGATAATATAATTTGCTTTTTCTAAATGTAATTCTAAAGACGTTAATCAATTTTAAAGAGAGGAAGAAATTTTCTGTTTTTTTTTTTACAACTACTTTCAAATCCATAAATGTTTGATAAAAGTTACGTTTGTAAAATAAATTGTATAAGTTACTAAAATAGGACCAGCTAAACTGGGGCGGTGATGGTCCGCAGACAGCCAACGTGTCTGGTGATAGTTCGGTATATACATGGGGGTTAATTTATTATTCCATATATTAAAATAAAAAAGATGTAAAGTTTGAGATGTTTCATTAAAGAATCCTTTGGCAAAATCCTCTTTGATAAATAATAAAAAATATAGCATTATCTGTAACAAATAGTGTGATCGGAGAGAAGTGTGGAGTAAAAGAAGTGGTGACAAAAATGGAAAAGGGAATATTATGTTCATTTGGTCATTTAGAGAGAATTGAAGAAAGAAGACTTACGAGAGATTTATCGAGCACGAACGAATGAAAATGTCAATAGGGACCGCTATAAACGGACGTATGCACTCATGGACAACCAAATAGGCGACGTGTTAAAGAAGGACTAAATTAAAGTATCAGTAACCGGCGAGCGTGTACGAATAGATTGATGAATGTGCGAGAGAGGTCCGTTTGAATCGGAGCATTCAGCATTCCATTGGTTCTGTTTACCCTAATGGGGGACAGGCGTGATGGATACGTATGTAGGAGTACGTATCAGTATTTTTTGACTCTCAGCTATTATTTGAGGTTAGAATATATATTAGCTAAAAAGCAGGGAGATAAGAAAGTAAAATAGTTTCATATATACAAACAATCTAACATTAAAACTATGGGAGGAAGAGATTGTTAGTTATGGGTATGTTAGTCACCATTGCTAGCATTAATGAGAATAATGAGAAGTCGACCTCCGTGTGGTTCCTCCTGGAATCTATCGTGGTTAGGTAATACTTAGTGAATTCGTTAAGATAGGCCAACTGACCTGCTTTCATTCTCACCTATTATTGTTTTTTTTTTTTTTATACAACTTAGAATGGCAAACAAGCTGACGGCCCACCTGATGAAAAGTGGTAACCGTCGCCTATAGACATGAGCAGTGGACCGTGGACATAACAGAGTATACTGTTTCGCCCATGATACCCCCTATGCTTTGCCATTTCTGAGTACTCAGGTGTTATTCCTCTGTACCCAGTAAATTCACGCCATATCCCACACTTAAAACCGAAACACAGCCATGCAAACACAACTGCTTCACGGTAGAAACACGAATGGGACAGACGTGCCCAAGCAATCGACTTTGTGTACAAAATCTCCCTCTGCTTACTGGTATCTTACCAGCGTATACCGTTGACGCAGGCGGGATTACCATATAATTTTGACTTCAAACTCGCAGATAAAATCTGGTATTATTACAAAAAACAATAATAAGAGATTTGATATATTGTAATTTATTAGTAAATCTAAAGTAGAACTGTGCAAAAATATCTAATACATGCTAATAATACTAAATATTAATATTATTATTTATCTTTGTTGTTTTTATTTAATCAGTGATGACGCCACCAGTGGGCACCTCTTCTTCTTTTGTACTTTTCTCAGATTTGTATTCTTCGTATCTGAAAATAAATGGCAAAGTACTATATGATTACAATTATTAAAAAAAGACTTTATTAATCGAGTAACTTGAGTCAGGATTCGATTCTTTTTCTGACGAGTACGTAAATATCATGAAAACATAAAAAGACAACTTGGCACATCACTAGGTAGAAAAGTGTTGAGTTTACTGCTTACTTCTCAAGAGGTGGACATAAGAAATGTCTGATATTTCTTGGCATGAACACATCGGCTTGTACTTTGCACACCTCGAGGGCGTAATCCATGAATTCTTTCATTATCTCTTCTTCTACTGGTGCTCCAATACCGGGTACTGCATGAACTAATGTCATCTGTAAGGTATTTTTTCAAGATTATTTTACAAGATTATTTTAAAATATTGTTTTTTTTTATATAACAGAATGGCAAACAAGGATGATGGAAAGTTGTGATAGACTTGAGAGACATAAAATATTGATTTTTGCCATTCCATTGATTTTTTCTTGATATTAAATTTGAACATAGGTTAAGATTTCGCTGTTGACTTCTGCAGGTATAAGGCTTTTTAATGAAACTCGAAAAATAAAGATGAGTGTAAATATAATACAATACAATCTAGATGGATAAAGTATAGAGTAGCAATCTTTACATCTTTATAATATTTTATATTTATTTATATCTTTACGCGTAAGGATAACATGGGCGGAACAGTATACCCTGATTATAGTCCTATATTGTATGTATTTATGGTACTGTTCATGTCTAAAGGCGACGATTAATACTTCCCATCAATACGGCAGTCGACTTGCTTGTTATTCTAAGTTGCATGGAAAAAATTCAGATGCTGGTAATCCTTACTTACTGTTAACTGAGTGCAGGCAATTAGAATTCATTGTATTATATTTTCGCTCATTTTTATTTAAACCAAGTTTCGTGAAATACCTTTATCCCTATAGAAGTTAGCAGCGAGATTTTATTTATAAGAGAAATATTATAATATTTTAAAGGTTTTTTTGACAAACGAGCAGACGATATACCTGATAACAACACTTTTAAGACGAGGGGAGTTGCTCGTGCGTTGTCGGATTTTGTTATTGTATTGACACGGTTTTTTTTTAAATAGTGTCCAATGTTGTAGGTATTCAAAAAAAGGTTTATTAATTATCTTACTTCAGGAATAGGATGCTCCTCCTCTTCAATCTCCTCCACTTCAGGCACAATAATGTCCATGTTCTCGTCAATGAATGTATCTACAATGTCCCGGATCATAGCCTCTTCATCTGGTTTAGCCTATAAATAATGGGAACTTCATAAAATTATGAAAATATCGTTGTTTTAAAAATAATAACAAATACTCTTTATTGCCTAAATTCGAATAAAATTCGTATCTAAGATGTTTCAAAGAATAAATTTTAGTTTTATAAAGAAATTTACGGGAAAGGGCGAGACCAATGGATGGTGTTGTTGCTGCAAGTGATTTCGCCTAAGCTATTTTTTGATGAAGAGGAATTTGTAAATTTTTTTTATTCTACTTAGAATAGCAAACAAGCTGACGGTCCACCTGATGGAAAGTAGTAACCGTCGCCTATAGACATGAGCAGTACCATGAACATAACAGAGTATACTGTTTCGCCCATGATACCCCCCATGCGTTGCCATTTCTGAGGACTCAGGTGTTATTCCTCTGTACCCAGTAAATTCACGCCATATCCCAACCGTCAAACCGAAACACTGCCATGCAAACACAACTGCTTCATGGTTGAAACACGAATGGGACAGGGTACATTTTATAAAAATATGTATATTAGAAAAATAATAATTGAATATTGGAATCTAGTAGGTTTATAATAGTACTTGTAATTACGTCATACATTACACTAGTTTACAAAATTTTACATTCTGATGATATTTGCAAAATTAATTAATAAATTTTTGATTAATTTGTAATTTTTGATAATTATCAAAGACCTCAAACTGATACGACAAATTATGAATGTGGACAAAGCAAGTATATGTTCAAGTGTAGTAAGTTTTTCATGCACTATTATAAATATTGCTGTTACTGAATGAGAAAGTACAATTTATAGAGATACCTTTTTTTTCTTTAAATCTGGATCAGGTAATATAGCGATTTGTTGATCGATATACGACATAATCTCATTTTCAATATGTTGAACGATAAATTCACCGCTAGTAGTCGACATCTGACGCCCGGCTACCATACCTGGAAATGATGAATCAAATTTAGTTCCTGTATTACCATGCATTCATGGAAATGCCCATGCCTAGTAATGGTTCCCTGCATAGATTTTCTCAACTTTTACTCAATGGAAAATAATATAAAAGTCTATTTACGCCTACTATTATGTTCTTTATATTTAAAAAAAGAGACACGTAGTCTTTCTAACCCAGGTCATAATTAGCAGACTTGAATTTATCAACTATAGCTGCAATATCATCAAAGGTCTGTTCCAGATCTTCAAGACGTTCTGCTCGCTGACAATAGGCCTAAAGTAGGAAGGAAGTGATTGAGTATCACAGAGTAGAAAGAGATAAATCATAATCACATATTTTATGGAATCATAGGGTTATGCATTGCTGAATTTTATTAACGTATAAGAATAATTTTAGTCCTTGAACAGGATTTTAAGAAAATTATTGTAATTCAATGAAAGTAAAGGAAAAAAATGTTTTGTTTGGAATCATTTTCCATCCGACAAAGTTTCGAATTTAAATTTTACAATTTTTTTTAATAATTTTAATAAACATTCGTATAAAAGTACCAACTTCTCTCACCGGCACTCAAGTTAATATAAATCAACATAAAGTATTTAAGAGAATCGAGAATATGTAAGTAGTACTTCTAGATAAAAATCAATTTAAAATTGCATTAGTTACTTTCGTTACATATTCAGCTGTCTTCACTGCCATACTATTTTCTTTCTCCTGTTTAATATCATCATCTTTAATAAGTAGATCATCGGCAGTAGGTTCCGGCATTTCTTCTTCTAATACATTTTCTACTTCTTCCGGTCCACCAATTTTATTTTCATCTTTTTGAAAAATATTGCAAGTAAAATTTGACATATACATTTAAAAATTTAGAAGTACCAACATTTGCTATGTACAATATTAGGATGATGTTAATTATTTCAAAAACTTGTTCTAACTATAACTTTCGTCTAAAGTACATTGTAATAAAATGACTACTCATTTTTTTCCAAATTATTAAAAAAAAAATTATAAATAATACCGATAAAAAAAATATCAGGCGCTAAGCGTATGGTATATTTAATAATTTTGTATGTGAATCAAATGGGGAAACAGTTAAAGTGAAAATATATCTTCATCACAGAGTCAGATAAGCAGAGAGACTCATTTTATTTACTTTCATAATTTTTCTGAATCAATTTCCAGCAGCAATATTTCCGAATCGATATAACATCGTAACGTTCTAGAAAAGAGTATATTGCTTTTTAAAAGGCCCGCAGTACACCTATTAGTTTTTCCGCTGTTGCGGGTCCTCATGGGAGGCGGTAAACACTTACCATAAGATGAACTGCAAGCTTGTTTGCCGTCTATGTTATAAAAAAAGATAAGAACACTATTTTGTAGTTTTGTCTTTTTATTTAGACCATATATGTGCAATTTCAAGTCAGATTAGATATCTCCCAAAACCTACATTATTCTCTTTCAACATGGAAGGTAAAAAAGTGTTTTAAATACAGTAAATAAACAAAAATGTATTGATAAAAATTGAATGTAACCATAAAATTCATGAGGTATCAGATTATCGTCTTCGTCGTATACAAAGATTTCTATGTCCTCTTTTTTCTTGTCAATTACTTTCTCTTCTTTGGGTTTGGCATCTAGTTTTGAAAGATATTTGTTAGATTGTAAATATGCAAAGATGTCAGAATTAAAAACAATTTTTTTAAGAATAACAATTTTAGTAAGCAACAAATTATTTATTATATGAGTTAAAGATTGTTGCTTACTATATCATCTGGGAGAAGTCGTTCGACTTAAACTATTTTCGACTTAAAAAAAGTAATTTAAAATAGCATTACCCCGCGGCTTTGGTCACATGAATCAGTATATAAAGTATCCTTTCTGCCAAGTGGGAATATAACCTACTGCAGCACCAAATTTTATTCAAATCTGTTAAATAGTTTTTGCATGAAAGTGTAACAAACATCTATCTATTCTTACAAACTTTTACATTTATAATATTAATAGAATAATTATAACATAACATTTGAAAAAAGATATAAACATCCACCTAATGACATATATATAGACGTTTGCTTATAGTGTTGTATTAAATTTGTCATTTATATATAATTCTAGAACTAACCATCTTTTAAAATATTTTGCATAGATAATTTAGCAGCGCTCAATTGTTTTAGTTTTTGCTGCAAAATAGAATTGTTCTCTTAAAAATCTAGTAAGTCCGTGCAGTTACAATACAATAGAGAAATAACTAACTTCAACTTCTTCACTTGCTACAGCTCTACCTGAAAACGAATTAATTGTTCTAATATTTTTTATTTTGAATTCGTTAAATAAAAAAACTAATTACAATTATTATATTTTATTGTAATTTATATTAGTATAAGATTGTTAGTAATCGTTTTGTCTAACAAATTTTGCTAAATTAATTATCCTTTTTTGACATATGCTAAGAGAACTTAATAGTCGAGGGAAGGGCAACAAGTGCAATAAAGAATATATATATATAGAATATATATAGAAAAAAAACTAAAATCACGACAAATTTGACTAACACGAGACTTAAACTTTTATTCAAACTGGAATAATCATAGAAATCAGTTGAAAAATTGTCACAAAGAATTTGGTCTATCAATTCGATTTCTTTTTGACATCGGTTCAAAATCATTATTTAAAAATAATTAATCAAATTTTTTTTATTCACTACGTTTACAGTCTTTAATGATCTAGCAACCTGCTAGATCGTTAAAATTAACAATTTGGCTATTACGTCCTGCTCTACTATATATGGTAATAAATTTTATTTGGTACATCAATGATTATTATAGAACGAAACAACCTTTGCGTTCTCTTAAATAATTTTCTCTCTCAATCTGTCCAGCTCTTTCTATAGATGGTGATCGTTCAATTTTTCCAACTATAGGCATGTTTAGTTTTACACTGAGTCCTCTTGAACGAGCTACATGATCGTTTATTAGCGTTAACTTCTGTAAATCTCTGGTGTCTTGCCAGTAATCGTCTGAGAGGCTCTGGAATGTTAGGAAATAGGGGGAAATTTGATTGGATTAAAAAATAGGAATTTTGATTTAATGATCTTTATAAAGCTATCCTACTTTGTCTTTAAGTAAATAGATCTACTTGTAATGTGTCAATCAGTGCCAACTAATTGTTTTTCAGATTATAATATGTTTTTGGAAATTTATATTTTCATATTTCAGTAACATTGTTGAAATCTCAAGTAAAGTTGTTAGAGTCAGTATCACTCACATCATTTTCTTCATCGACTGGAGGCTCGCTTTGTTCTTCTTCAACATATGATTCGATTTGAGGAGTTTCACCTAGATTTATTTATGATATATTTATTTACTTAGATTTATAAACAAAGTTTTTTTTTTTTATTTATTTTAATAATATTATTCACCATAAGAAAATATGATACAAAAGGCGGACTCTTTTCCAAAATGAATATCACAATCTAAACCATAGGTTTTTAACCTTATATTCCACTTTACCTTTTTTGTTTAATTTTTGTTAGAATTATTTTCTTCTATCACTAATTCGAAACAGCTAATGTCACAATTGTATTTAAACAAGACATTTTATTCAAAATTTAATAATTTTCATGTATTTTTTAAGAGTGATTTATTGCAGCTCTGAAAGTCTCAAACTTCCACAAGGGGGTGTTATCGCCCACATTAACAATCTATTGTCTAAACTTACATACAAAATATCAATAAATTTGAATCAATTGTACGATATAAAGAAGATTTAATTGCAGATTGAATTGGATTTTCTATTAACTAGTTTCGGGACTATCCAAGACCCATATCAATAAAAATTGTTATCAAATTGTTTAGGAATTGATCAATGAGAAAAGTTTTGTCATAAAAACTTTACGTACCTCTCTTTACACTAATTAATATGTATAATTAAATAATTAAACTCACCTTCCTTGTATCCGTTGAAGTATTTCACGTCTTTGGAGGCGTCCATTTTGGCGAGAAACTTGTACATAGTGAGGAATTCATTGACAGGGATCGCAGCTGATCCACCGTCTGGTTCTTTGGTGAGGGTCTCGCAGAGTAAGATCATGGTGTGAGTAAGAGTCTAAAAGAGAAAGTATTATAAAATGTGTTTGCCGTTCATCAGTTAGATGGATACCTATCGAATCTATGGATTATAAAAACCAAGAAATCCACTGAGTTAGATACATTATATACTCAACTATATGTATAGTTATGGACATAGTAATAAAAACAAGGGTCAGACAATTTCTGTCCCCATGTAGCTATGCTTGTATGGCTTTATAATGGTTTATATGGCAGTGAAGTGATAGAGTATACATAACACTTGAATTTTCAGTAATGATAACTCATGGACACTTTTCATTAGGTGACCCGTTAGTTTTTTTGTCTTTTCAAAGTTTATTTTTATATAACTTAGAATGACAAACAAGCCTACCTGATGAAAAATGCAACCATTGCCTTTAGACATGAATAGTAATATGGACACAATAGATAATACTGTGATACCTTTCATGCATTGCCATTTTTGAGGACTATGTTTTTATGTATGAGATGTTATTAGACATGATATGTACGCAATAACTTAACTGTCATATCCTACCAAACTACCTTCAAATCTAAACACATGCAGGCAAACATAACTGTTTCACAGTAAAAACACGACTAGGACATAGGTATCCAAACAGACGACTTTTGTACAAAGTCTCTTTTTGGTGAGAGTTTCTAGAATGTGAAAAAAATATGATTATTATCAATCTATATAATGGAGGTTCCTGCAGATCTAGTATTAATGGTTACCGTAGCTCTTGGCTCGCAATCTTCATCATCATCATAAAAGCTTTAACTGTCCACTGCTGAACATAAGCCTCCTTTTCGGGGATTTTGCCAGTAGTTGTCATGCATGGTAGGCAGATTGGCAATCGCAGTTAGACTGTAGAGATTAAGAGGGACGCTGTTGCCCATTCCTCGCCATCCCTCAATCGTCTCTTACGACACTCACGAGAAACGAATGTATGGCCTATTTTATGCGAGGACCACACAGCTATTTAATTCGGAATATTAACTGTTAAATAAATATTTTAAGTTCTGCCTACAGAGGCACATAAATATTTACGACTTAGCAAAATAAGATAACTGCTTTAAGTACTAACCTTTGTCAATAATCCCCCAGCTACTGCGATGAAGTGTAAGAAGGGAACAGTCTCCTCCCGTAGGTATACTTCGCAGAGGCACAGCACTCTCTTCAGCTCATGAGGATCGAGACAGAAGCCTTGCCACGCGTTTTTCAGGACTGGCAGCGGGACTTCGGACATGCCACTTAACTGAGAAAAGATGATGTGAAAGTTATTGGAATGTGTTTTATGTGGAGGATTGGACGGTATTCTTCTTGTACTTTCTTGTAAATCTCGAAAGTTATGTTAAACAATACAGTATGACCTGCTTAAACAGATAATATTTATTTTCGTCATGAATTAAGACTATGGCATGAGTGTAGTGTCGAAGGAGTAAGGTATTAAATTTAATTTCAAATTCAAATTAATGGCATCATCCCTTGGCAGTTGGCAGTTGTCCGTTGGCAGTGACAACTCATACATTTCGTAATGGTAAAACACTCACTCAAACACTATGGTAATTTCATGTCAAAGGCGACGAAATTATCATAGTGTTTTCTATCTCGATAAGTAACAGTTGACACTTTCTATCGGATGAGCTTTCAATTTGTCATTTTTTTTGTTCTTAGCTTCACTAGCATACGTACCTGATTTGCCAAAACTTTCAGACACCCTCTTGTAAGGCCACCTTCAGTGCTATACACAGGATACTCGAGCCGCAGCTTCACGGGCGGTTCCCTGTGCTCGGCAAGTGCCTTGAAGTATTCGTACGACCAGCGGAGAAGGTCGTAGGGCTGAGTTTTTATTGCCGCTGTGATAATAAAGTAAATTTATTGGTGATAGAATTTTGAATTTGTAAATCGTTGCTTATGTATTCGGAAGTATAAATGAATCGTTCTAATTTTGTTATGTTATAAAATGTGTTTTATTTTTATAATGTTGAGAATGGCAAATAAGCTGACGGCTCACCTGATGGAAAGTAGGAACCGTCACGTATAGATATGAACAGTTTCATAAATATCATAGATCAGGGATTCCTAAACTTTTGAGAGAACGGAATTCACAAATACCTTTCATTTTATGGAACTCCATATCAAAGATTACAAATCTAAAACATTGTAATTTAAACAAGAACAAAAGTTTTTATTAGTGTTATTTTAAAAGTATAACACTTTATTGTTTCTTTTAAATTTTTTTTATACAATTTAAATTGGCAAACAAACTAATGACCCACCTGATGGAAAGTGGTAACGGTCGCCTATAGACATGAGCAGTACCATAGATATAACAGAGTATACTGTTTCGCCCATAATACCTCAAATGCGTTGCCACTGCTGAGGACTCAGGTGTTATTCCTGTGTACCCTGTAAATTCACTACCATATCCTCCCGTTGAAACCGATTTTTAATGTAAAGAATAAAGTTGTTTCACTGTGTAAATAATTTCGCGGAACCCACTTTAGGTATCTCTCTCATAGACTACACTGTGCTGCTCATGGTACTCCTTATTTATCGGCATCCTGAGGATTACGACATTACGCTTCCGTACCTTGTAATTTCACTGTTATTCGAATAGAAATACAACCATGCATACTCGCATAGCTCAGTTGTTGCTTCACGATAGAAACACGAATAGGACAGAGCTACCTATATAATTTTTTACTTAAAAGAATATCCTTTGAGGTCCAAATTACTCAGACCTACGGCATACTTCAAGTTATTAATATTTTTTGGTTTTTTATATTCTTTTTTGAGATTTACCTTTGCAATACCTCTTCAATATGTACGGAAACTTAGGTGGTATGACAATCTGCTGGGAGCAATACATTTGCTCTATTAGCTCCGGCATGATGTCTGCTTATTGCTGGTGCTTGCCCTCTAACTGACAATAAAATTATATTTTTTAAATATGTTATAGCAGGAAGAAAGAGGTTAAAGATAAGAAGAAGAAGAGAGTAAAAGCTATTTTTATGTATTTTACAAATGAAAATGTGCATTTTCAGAGAAAACACGAAGAAATGAAATGATATATTTTTTCATTTGGTATAATTTTATTCAGGCCATGCTATTATTTCCAACCGACTTAAAAAAAAGGAGGTTCTCAATTCGGTTATATTTTTTTATGTTTGTTACCTTATAACTTAGCCAGTTTTAAACCGATTTGAAAAAATATTTTTTATTTAAAAGGATATATCTTCAAATTTGTCCTATATAAATTTTATCAAAATCGATTCAGTACTTTAGTATTCAGATTAAGATAACTGGTTTTGCCACGATTGAAGAAAATTTTTTTTGTAGAAACAATTTAGTTATAAAGAAAATATTTTGAGCGTGTATACTGTACGAAAACAGAACCGATGTTAGTGATTCTTTTGCCAATAAATAGGGTTTACATTCGTGTTGGTTCGAAATAAATTTTATCAAAATTAAATTTGGGTATTTTATGGGGTGATACCTTAATTTTAAATTATTATAAATTTGAATATAATCTGGTTTAAAGCTAGTCTCCATATTCACTATGTTAAACTCTGTGACATACATTATGTTATTCATAGTTTAAGTCGAACTGTTATCAATTTTTATCACGTCAATATTAGAGAAAAATTTGTAATCCATACGGAATTAAATAATTTACACAATTATGTTTAGGTAATATTGAATAAAAAAAACAGATAAAAAACAAGAGCTTATACTGACCTGAAACGTCGCTTGAAAACTGTATGTTTGACAGTTTCTGTTGCTATAGCAACAATATAAAAAAATATTCAAGTCTACGACCGGGTGACGTCTATGACCTTGGCATTAAGGGAAGTAGAGTAAATTGGTGTTAAATGGACAATATATATATTTTTAAAATTTATTTATTTATTTATACTTTTGCACACATTGAAAAATGTCTACAGGGCGAAGTTAATGCCTGATGGCATTCTCTACCAGTCAACCACCACGCCAAACAGAGAGAGCAGATGGTGGTGTACAGATTTAAAAAAATTGAAATATATTAAATAAATATTTTAAGAGATAACAATTTATAATAAATAAACATACAAACATATAGAATAATATACTTACAAAAAATATACACACATAAATCACATACAATACATATATAAATAACCACACATAGCATATACTAAATTAATAAATATATAAATAATAACTTATTATATAACAGATTAAGGCTTGACATTATTGTGAAAAGCCTTAATCTGTTAAATAAGAAAATTTAACTTCTTTAGCTTCCAATGGTCGTGTGTTCGAACCCTGCACAATACAAACTTATTCACAAGTATGTCTATTTGTCTGGGTGTTTTCTATGTATGGTAGGTATTTATAGAAAAGTATTTAATCTTCTCGTATGAGTTCTTTCTTCTCTTAGAAATGTGAAAATATTGTTAAACATCCCTAATACCTATATTATAATATCTGAGTATAAGCTAAGAGGTATCTGTTTAAATGATAAAATAAATGATAAATTTAAAACTCACATATTTCCTCCTTTTCTCTCACTGATAGAGTTTTGTATGATCCATTTGGTCTTACCTATTTGTTCATGAAGTAAAAATTCGGACCGATTTTGATAGATCATTTTGTAATCAATGTTTTTAAATGTTCACTGCTTTTATGCAAAGTTAATAATCTTAAATTATTTAAATATATTGTTAGATCACTGATTACTCTCTTTACAGTTCATTAGTCACATTCCTAGAAGTAAAAAAAATAACTTAACATAATCAGCACTCTTTGTAATCAACATAAAGGAAAATCCATTTCCATTTCACTCTGATAATAAAAATTCTACGCTTAGTTTCACGCGTAGAAATAATCAACGCGCGCTGAAATTAAATTACTTACACTTTATTTCTTACGCGTCCACCGCCATCTATCGGCAGCACGGCGTACTATTTACATATAGATCGATGGATCACGTGGTAAAGCGAGTTGTCGGAGTGCGATGTGAAAAAAACAAAAACCTGTTTAGTTCAGTGACGTCTATCGTGTTTCTGTGTCGTGCAATAGTTTAGTGAAAAATATTACCTATTTAATGTACGATAATATTGAAACAGATGCACCGATTCTGTACATTATAGACATTCCTATCCGGTGACTGTGTCGGTGCAAGTTTTAAACACATTTTGTCCTGTGTTGCGACCAAACGAATGTCACAGTGTTTCGTATCATACACAAAACACGGAAAAATGAGTGTCCGATGATACTGTTTGTTTCGTAGTGCAATAAATACATATTAATGGATGTGTACAGTGATAATAAATCGGCGGTATGTGATACGACATAGTCATTGAGAAATGGGTGACAGGTTAAAGCACCCATTTAAGGTGAAAACAAAAACATTACTAGTGGTTGTCGAAGCATTAGAATGGATTTAATTACGGACCTATCCCCCCTAAGTGAGTACTTCACCTTAAGATTTTTTTTTTAAGATTTAATGAAACAGGATCAGCGGTCAGGACATTTTAGTTAGGATTTTTTGAACAGATTTCAGTGAGTTTTGAATTTAAATTTAAGTTTGAACAGGTTTGATTAAAATATTGCAATATTTTATTTATTTTTATTATCATTAATAAATGTTCACGCCTAATACCTTAATGAGATAATCAGAGCTATTTGGGTACTTATTATGTTCTTGGATATATATTCACTTGGTAAGTAGAAGCTCTATTCGCCACTTTTAAACCTGTCCAATTGATGTCAGAATTAGCATCACACTATATTATTTATGATATGTCCATTTTACCCCTCATGCTAATTCTCTAAATGTACCCATAGATTAAGAATATGTAGTACCTTTATAAGTGTTGTGTATACCAAAGATATTGAATACAACTTAGTAGGGGGGAAAGGGATTGTTAGTAATGGAGACTAAGAATCCCATTGCTAGCAATATACCCCAGGTCGACCTCCTCGCGGTTCTCTCTGTAAACTATCATGGTTAATTCCTGATGAATTCATCATGATGGGCTAACTGGCCTGTTTTCATTCTCATCTATCACCCTTCACTGGTGCTCCGCCAGCGTATCCCGTTAGCGCAGGCGGGGTTACCATACCATTTTCATCCATCAAAAAAAAATACAACTTAGTTATGTGTTGTGTTCACCCGTATATTTTTGTGAGACTTACAGATTAAGTAAGACCTGTCGTATTGGCTCTTAAGTAGCTTGCTATATGTTTAGGGCCTGATGTGATGTAAAGGATGTTCTAGAACCGCAGGAACTATCTTAAATCTATGGATATTAAACATTGATATGTAAAATAATTTAGATATACAATCAGAGAGTAAAACGGTAAGTGGAGCGCATATAATCAAATTTCTATATTCATTTCTAAAAGTCCAGTTACATTTGTAGTCAAACGTGTTGTTGTTTTTATAAATTTTGTAAAAAAATTTAAGTCTAAACATGTACGTAATTTCATATTTACGGTAAGTATTCACTACGAATAATGATTTTTCCTATCCAGTGATAAATAAATGGGTGGGATTGTGTATCTTGACTTTTTTGTATATCAATATGAACAACTACATTAAATTGCATTAAAATAAAATAAAACATATGGAAATAAAAAAAAATCGTTAAGATAATTAAATTAATTTGGAATTTAATTCAAATTTAAATAAATTGATGGAATTGAAATTGAATTATTTAAATCTTTATGAAAATTTAAGGATCAACGCCCTCCTCGCCTCTAATTGCTGTGTCCGACATGATCTATAACGTACTTTATCCATTATTAACATGTTTCATAATAATATTGTAGAATATAATAAATAAATTGAAATTGAAATATTGCTAACAAAACATATTAATACATACGATATCGAAACCATCAAGAAAAGAGCATATTTCTTTTTAAAAGGCCTGCAGCATACTGTAATGCCTCTGGTGTTGCGTGTGCTCATGGGCGGCGGTAGTCACTTACCATCAGGTGAGCCGCATGCTCGTCTGCTCACTGTGTTATACAAAAAAAAATGTATTAATACGTAGTGCAACAATTTTCTAGACTAAAATACAGAAATACACGCATTTCTGCTTGAAGGAAAAAGTAACTAAAACAGTTGAACTGATCCTTAGGAGACGGATTTTTTCAACAGCATAATATGAATTAAATTTTATTGTTAAAAGTTTCATAAGTACACATTATGTTTTCAACCGATTTCAAAAAGAAGGAGCTTGTATTTTTTTTATGTTCATAATTCTGTCAGTTCTAAACCGATTGGAAAATTCTTCGTTAATCTAAAAGGATATACTTACAGATTGGTCCCATAGAATCAAAATTGGTACAGTAGTTTAATTTTTAGACCAAAACAACTGGTTTTGTGACAATTGAAGTCAGTTTTTTGTGAGACACAATTTTTATTTATAATGTATTAACTACCAGTTTAACTTATGTTTATTTTAGTTGAAGTAGCTCCACTAGTTTAGGGTTTATTCGGGACCTTGATTGGGAGCGCCAGCTAGACTCGCTTCACAGCCCCACAAATCTCGGATGGTCCCAAAACTAGTCAAGCTTTCACGAGAAAGCTCGTCGAAATAAATTACATACTTGAATATGTCTTATTTTGCAAGAATATAAACGGAAAATGTTCTAAAGCAAGAATTACATATCTATTTCGATCGCATCAGTAAAGGTCGCCCATTCGGAGTCTAGCCACGCCGTGCGTTGCTTAACCTCGAAAGTTTAGTGAATATTCGACACTACGTTATTGCTAGATGTCTTGTAGTGATTTAAATATGGCTTTGAGACCATACACTTTTACACGCGACTTTATTATTTAATTGGGTAATATGGATACCGATCTGATATCTGTATATTGGGTTGCTTTGGACAATGATGGCGGAAAAAACATCACCCATTTCGATATCGCCCATATCGGTCGAATACCTTTTTTTATTTTTTTTATACAACTTAGAATGGCAAACAAGCTGACGGCCCACCTGATGAAAAGTGGTAACCGTCGCCTATAGACATGAGCAGTACCATGAACATAACAGAGTATACTGTTTCGCCCATGATACCCCCCATGCGTTGCCATTCCTGAGGACTCAGATGTTATTTCTCTGTACCCTGTAAATTCACGCCATATCCCACCCTTCAAACCGAAACACAGCCATGAAAACACAACTGCTTCACGGTAGAAACACGAATGGGACAGAGGTACCCAAACAATCGACTTTTGTACAAAGTCTCCCTCTGGTATATCTTATGTATCTACGTATAAGCTGAATAAATTTTGTATTATAAAGAAGAATTCAAGGTATCATTATTACTCTGCCATAGATTATCAAAGCACAGTTTGAAAACTAATTAGAAAAGACAGACTTACTATTATAATAATAATTATTATTATTCAAAAATACATTTGTAATTATCACTACTCCATTACAAATATTTATTTGAATTCCAGGGAGGTCCATGCACATCGAATGAATTTAAGGGGCCATTGGACTAACTATTAAAAAGCGAAAAAAATAAAAAAATCATTTTAGTAAATATCGCGTAACACATAAACAAAGAAACTTAGGCTCAACTCGAATCCTTATTAATATTAAATATAAATGCGAAAGTAAGTTTCTTTGTTTGGTATTTCTTGGCACCTTAACGGCTTAACCAATAACTATAATGTTTTGTATACAGGTATTATGTGCGATAGAAAAGGATATAAGGTTACTTTTTATTCTATCTAGTGAATATATTCTA